GTAACTAACTTTTTTTTTGTCTGTTTGTCTGTTTGTCTGTTCACGCTAATCTCAGAAACGGCTTATCCGAGTTGGATGCGGTTTTCATGAATATATTGTGGTATGCTTCAGTTATGCTTAAGTGTTTGTTTCATGTCAATCGGTTTATAAATAAAAAAGTTACGTCAAATTAAAGAATCACATCGAACACTATCTATCTATCTATACATATAATAAAATTGTAGAAAAGTGCTGTCTGTACATTGAAAATAAAAATAAAAAAAATAGCAGGAGCTATGGTTATGTCGATTTCGAACCCAAAAATGTAACTAACTTTTTTTTTGTCTGTTTGTCTGTTTGTTTGTTCACGCTAATCTCAGAAATGGCTTATAAATATTTATATATATTTAACAGGGTGCGGAAAAGGTGATAGTGGTTTTAATCCTCAGATTCCTCTCATTCCAAAAAATTTTCCGTTTAATTTAATCGAATTCAGTTTCCAGTGAGCCTATGTTTCGCCATGACAATTAATAAAGCTCAAGGTCAGACTCTAAAAGTTGTGGGTATAGATCTAAGTATCAGCTGTTTTTCGCACGGTCAATTGTATGTGGCTCTGTCCCGTGTTAGCAATCCCAGCAGCCTGTATGCTTTCACCCCCGATGGCCATACGTCTAATATTGTATATAGAGAAGCATTACAGTAAAGTAGGTTTTTTAGCTACCCAAAATGACTGTGATTATGATCCAAATCTAAAATAAAAATAAGTATATATTTAAAAAAAAAACGCTGCTCATAGTCACTATTCTACGCGAACGAAGTCGCGGGCACAGCTAGTCAAGGTCGAACCCAAAAATGTAACTAACTTTTTTTTTGTCTGTTTGTCTGTTTGTCTGTTCACGCTAATCTCAGAAATGGCTTATAAATATATATATATTTAACAGGGTGCGGAAAAGGTGATAGTGGTTTTATTCCTCAGATTCCTCTCATTCCAAAAAATTTTCCGTTTAATTTTAAACGAATTCAGTTTCCAGTGAGCCTATGTTTCGCCATGACAATTAATAAAGCTCAAGGTCAGACTCTAAAAGTTGTGGGTATAGATCTAAGTATCAGCTGTTTTTCGCACGGTCAATTGTATGTGGCTCTGTCCCGTGTTAGCAATCCCAGCAGCCTGTATGCTTTCACCCCCGATGGCCATACGTCTAATATTGTATATAGAGAAGCATTACAGTAAAGTAGGTTTTTTAGCTACCCAAAATGACTGTGATTATGATCCAAATCTAAAATAAAAATAAGTATATATTTAAAAAAAAATGCTGCTCATAGTCACTATTCTACGCGAACGAAGTCGCGGGCACAGCTAGTAATGTATAAATCTACATACAAATTATCGTTTTTGGTAATAACTTGACTGCTATTAATATCTTTATAGGTAGGAATTGTTTTATAGATTAAGGTGCAAGAGGGATCTCTTGATGGTATAAAATCAGCGGCGCACATGGACGCCCGCAACACTCTAGAGGAGATACAAGTGAGTTGCCAGCCTTTTGGAGTGTAGGGGAAATTGGGTCTATCGTAATCTCATTCATACCACAAAGCTGTCACGACAGTTGTCTGTGAAGCCTTAGGATCACTTCGGTAGAGCCGACCACTGAATGCCGAAGCAAGGCGCTCAAAGTTCCCATAGAAGCGGGATTAACAAAACCAAATGAACAATCAAACGATATTTTATTAAAATCGTAATAAACCATGCGGCCATTTACCATAGAAATGACCTTTTGTCAGTGAGCAAAATGCGTCAACTATGACCTCGGGTCAGCTATTGTTTTAAAGGCGACATGGCGTGATGAATTTGTATCATTTACATCAAAATGCGTTTAAACACATGACCTTACTTGCCCATGGTCGGTTTAAATTGGTCGGTCGCTTGGTTCATCTAAATTTTAGTATTTTTAGCGGTCTCACTGCTTCGTTGGCCGAGTGGTCGTAGGTGCGACTGCCGGGCAAGAGGTCTCGAGTTCGATTCCCGGGTCGGAGTAGTACCACGGAGCCTGGAAATATGCCCTGTTTATGGCAATAGGCTCACCTCCTATTACATGGGACTCATAACATAAATAGTGAAAAGTGGGTGTTACGTTGCACAGTGGTATAATGTGCACCTCTGCTTACCCCTTCGAGGATAAAAGGCGTGATGTTATGTTATTTATTTGTTTATTTATAATCACAACAGTGTACATATTGAGTTTACAACTTGGTTATTCATTTCGGCCCGTTTTTAATATCTTATGACACGCAGGACAAGACTAGACCTGGTGACAGTCGCGGAGAACCTAACGGGTAACCGGGGCTCCGGGTCGACGTGCAGGAGAAGGAACGGGGTGGTTTTTAGTCAGTAAGAGTCTGACACTCTCTCCCGCCTCACCCAGGCGGGAGCAGTCATTCGATGATTTTCCCCCCTTAAAAAAAGGACCTGGTGACGAATGTATTCTACAGTCACCACACGCCTTAGACTTAGTACTAAAACACACAATAATTTAAACAATTCAGCTAATTTATTTTACGAAGTAAAAAACTTCTTCCGTATACATTAATGCATAGTTAATAGCGTAATGTTTATTTAGTAGTATAAGTAGATTAGTAGTAGTTTCAAAGTCAAAGTCAAAGTCAAAGCATTTGTTTCAATTAACCCATAGTTTGGTACTTTTGAAACGTCAACAAATACAAAATAAATAATAGTCTGTCAGTCAGTCCGTCAGTGAAAGTCAGTCCGTAGATTCGAATGGAGAAGAACGAGCAAGAAACTCCATTCGTTACTCTTTTTAAAAAAAGTAGGTATGTTTTTCTACATTGTATTCAATTGACTTGACTGCACTGTTGGTGCGGTGGCTGGGCAACCGACTGCCATGCAACGTGTCGCGGGTTCGATTCCTGCACGGAACAACACTTTGTGTGATCCACAAATTGATGTTTCGGGTCTGGGTGTCATTGTGTACGTGAACTTGTATGTTTGTAAACGCACCCACGACACAGGAGAAAATCTTAATGTGGGAAAATGTTAAAAAAAAATTGTATATTTTTTCAGTCTGGTAGTTGCGAGTGTGCCTCTCTAGGCTGTTTTTTAAGAGGAGAAAATCATCCAGTTACTTCTCCCGCCTTGGTGAGGCGAGAGGGAGTGTCAGACTCTTACTGACTAAAAACCACCCCGTTCGACTATTCCTGTTCTTTAATACGGACCCTCGGCAGCCTGTTAGGTCTAACAGGCGACGCGCGACTCGACTCCGTATCGGCATCAGCCCTACTGGGCTCCATATGTGGTGGTCTGATGGCTCTTTGCAGCACGCAAAGCTAGGTTGAGAGATTCGATATCTGGGATAACGAAACGCTGTTTGTCGTTTTTTTTAATTGTCAATTTTTCTAAGGAGTCTAGATGTTCTTTCGTGTTACAATGGAAATGCTCGTTGTGCCGAGTAGTCGCAAATGCGACTACCAGGCAAGGGGTCTTGGGTTCGATTCCCGGGTCGGGCATTAATGTTTTTTTTAATTATAAGCAATAGGCTCAACCCCTAGTACGAGGGACACATAACATGTACTGTACCACTGTATAATTTAACACCCACTTTTCACTGTACAGTGGCATTAAATGCTATAATGTGCACATCTGCCTACCCCTTCGGGGCTGAAAAGGCGTGATGTTATGTTATAATATGAATTATCTTATACATAATATGTATATATGAATGGACTGATAGTAAAACTATTTGCTCTCATAGAGTCGCAAGAGGAACACAAAAGATCTATCTAATCCGCAGTAAAAACAAAATGTAGTGTTCCGGTTTGCACACCTAGACCACCTATTTATTTAGGCACCAATACATTATCACTACATAGTATAAAACAAAGTCGCTTTCTCTGTCTCTAAGTCCCTTTGTATGCTTAAATCTTTGAAACTACGCAACGGATTTTGATGCGGTTTTTTTAATAGATAGAGTGATTCAAGAGGAATGTTTATATGTATAATACATGCATATTGCATCCGTGCGAAGCCGGGGCGGATCGCTAGTTGTACCATATAATATTAGTAAATATATAGGGGCTCAAAAAATAGGTGCTTCGACGCAAATACTCCAAAAATAGAAAGCCAACGGTGATTCAACAAATCTTTGTGAACCTTTCTGATGTTTCTGAACCGTTATAAGTCATGGTTTATGAGATAAAGTCTGATGAAAGGTGAACATGCAGGCAGAGAATATAGGCTCATATTTATTCCTAAAAAGTACAGAGAAACTAGATAACTAAAAATAGATCCAAAATCTCAAGGACGGACGTTGAAAAAATGGCGGACATAATGTCATTTAGAAACGATTGAAGCATCAAAATGCCACTGAGTTATGTAAGTGTGCGTGTGTAATGGGTTACCACGTTACGAGAGTGACAGATGTCCTTCGTGTCAATGTGTGCATGTTCTGCGTGTAAGTCCTTAGTAATCAGCAGCTGTAGCCAAATGCTATTTAGCGCTTGTCTACATGTAGAATAGAAAACCAAATTATATGGGATTGACGTAAATTTTGACACTTTTTTTAAGGGGGAAAATCATGGTATGACTACTCCCGCCTGAGTAAGGTGGGAGGGAGTTTCAGACTATTACTGACTAAAAACCACCCCGTTCTTACTCCTGCACGTCGAGCCGGAGCCCCGGTTACCCGTTAGGTTCTCCGCGACAAATTTTGACACTTTTTTTAAGGGGTGAAAATCATCGAATGACTACTCCCACCTGGGCGAGGGGGGGGAGAGACAGCCTCTTACTGACTAAAAACCACCCCGTTCCTTCTCCTACACATCGAGCCGGAGCCCCGGTTACCCGTTAGGTTCTCCGCGACAAATTTTGACACTTGCCAATGTCATCTCCATACATTTAGTTTTCTACTCTCTATGTTAACAAGCGCTAAAGTGGCGTTTGGCTAAAGGCACTGATGACCAGAGACCACGTCCGCATTGTTTTCAAAGTCCTTGAAAAAACCACTTACCTTTGTAAACCTCCTTGCCTGGATTTCGCCCGTATGCTTCTTCATATTCACTTATGGCCATGGGTTTAGAAGTAACCACCTCCCCACCCGGCCTAGCAATGTAACTGGGCACATTACCCGGTTTCTCCAAATCGTATTCGTATACCGGTTTTACATTTGGTTTTTCGTAACCGGTTGTGTTTGGTTTCTCATTGCCGTAGCCTGGTTTATCCTGGTCTGTGTCGTAGCCGGGGTCATTTGGGTTGATGTAGTCTGGGCGGTTTTCGTCGAATGCTGGTTTGTTATAACCTGTTGAGGAATAATTTTGGAATATTAGGTTGCGGGGAGCCTGTGGATGTGGGTGGCGAGTTCTCGTTCGATATGGCGGACTATAGAGGCGGCTGTTGTCTAGTTGCGGACGTCTTTCGGCTGTTAATGATGCTGAAGTAAATAGTACGTAACTATGCATGTCTTATGTTTGAATTTGCTTTGGTCTGTGACTGTCTAATGTGCCATGTTCGATCCACAAATCACATAAGATATTAATAATATAATAATAATGAAGGAATTTGTGTCTCTCAAAAGGTACATAGAAACATAATATCACTATTTAAGTTACATAAGGTTCAACCTTTGTGAGAGCTGGAGTCTATATTGGGTTCAAGACATGACAGCTCTCCAGGCTCACAAATTATTAGTTGCGTTGATTTAAAACATTCACGACCTGGTCTGGATTATTTTAAGATTTTCTCTTTTGTCATGGATGCGTTTACAAACACAAATTGTACTCAGACCGAGAACAACAATTTGTGGATCACACAAAGATAAATTTCGAATGATTCCGTTGCACCCATCGTGCAGTTTATGTTTAATTATTTGTAAATAACTCGACCGGAGTGATACCACGGTTTCACAGAAAACCTATCCTTCCCCAATCTACCCAATTCCTGAATCCCCAACGATCCTTAAACTCCTAATCCCCAAAAGAACGGTAACGCACTTGTAACGCCTCTGGTGTTCCAAGTGTCCATGGGCGACGCCGATTGCTTACCATCAGATGATCCGTCTGCCCGTTTACCGGCTTATGCTATTAAAATAAAAAACGAACATACCTCCGTCCTGTTCATCATTTTCATACGAAGGTTTTGGTTTCTGAGGCTTAACAGGCACAGGCTTATCATTCAAAGGTCTATTGCCATAAGAAGGTCTATTATAATCATTCTGACCACCATAAGTCCCCGTCCCTCCATAAGAACCCGTATTATAGTCAAAAGACCCTTGACTTCCATAATAAGAATTTTGAGAAGACTGAGATCCATAGCTAGTACCGTACGATCCCTGATAACCCCCATAAAATCCTTGTCCATAAGATCCAGACCCATATGAACCCTGCCCATAAGCACTTTGGTTATTCCCATAACCTTCACCATAAGAACTTGTTCCGTAAGGTTTCTGGTAATCGTGGCTTGGTTTCTGTAACCGATAACCAGTGTCTAACGGTTTGTTATAATAATGACTTCCATAGCTAGCTTGGCTGCTACTATAACCGCTTTGACTGTTAAATGACGCGTGGTTGCTGCCATATGTGACTTGGTTACCGTAACCCGGTTTCGGGTCATATGATGGTTTGTTATTTCCATAGAAAGGTTGGTCATTCCCATATGAAGGTCTTTCATTACCATAAGCAGGTCTATCATTACCATAAGCAGGTCTATCACTGCCATACGAAGGCTTATCATTACTAACAGGTGGCCTGTTACTTCCGTAAGATGGTTTGTCATCATTATACGGTCTATCGTTCCCATAACTTGGTCTGTCATTTCCATAAGCGGGTTTATTGCTACCATAAGATGGACTATCATTCCCATAAGTAGGCTTATTGCCACCATAAGATGGACTATCATTCCCGTAAGTAGGCTTATTGCCGCCATAAGATGGACTATCATTCCCGTAAGTAGGCTTATTACCATCATAAGAGGGACTATCATTCCCGTAAGAAGGCTTATTGCCACCATAAGATGGATTATCGTTACCATAACTTGGCCTATCATTGGCATAAGAGGGTTTATCATTACTATACGATGGCTTATCATTGTAAGAAGGCCTATCATTTCCATAGCCAGGCTTATCATTCCCATAACCTGGTCTATCGCTTCCATACGAAGGTTTATCATTCCCATAAGCTGGTTTATCATTATACGCTGGCTTATCACCATACTCAGGTTTCTCAGCACCATAAACCGGCCTGTCATTAATCGGTTTTGGTTTTGACCCTCCACCATATCCAGCATCACTTGGTTCCCCATAACCTGGTCTTTCTGGCCTGGGATCTGGCCTGTAAGGGTTGCCAAAACCTGTGTCTGCTGCAGCAGATCCATAATATTGAGACTGGCTACTTTGAGACTGTGAGTAAGAATTCTGACTGGAATAAGTTCCATAACCGTAGATCCCTTGGCCAGCTGGTTTAGGAGGTGTGTACGGTCTGGGTGGGTCATTTATTTCGACGTGTATAGAATTATCATCGTACGGAGAATTTTGACCATAACCACCAAGTGGACCTTGATATCCGGGTCTAGGGCGATTATACGGATCTTTATCTGGATATGGTCTTGGGCCTTGAGGGTATCCAGGATCAGCCTGTCCATATCCAGGTCTATGATAATCATTACTTGGCTTAGTAAAGCTAGTGTCTTCTTGTGGCCTTGGTTTCCTATTAGGCCTAATAATGTAATGGTATTCTGGCTTCTCAGGCACATAAGGAGGCCTCGGATCATTCGCAGGATATCCTGGCCTATTATCAGGCTTATAAGGATCCTGTAATTGAAGTACATCATACGGATCAGGCCGAGTGCTATGAGCAGGCTTTTCCGGCCTGAAAGGTATATCCTGAGGTTTATGGACCCCATAACTGGGTCCCATGTCGAAGTCCGGTTTGGGGTTGCTATAGTCATCGGGTCTTTCATCGTATTGGGGCTTGTAGACTGGTCTGGCAACACCATAGGCTTCTAGATTGCTAGAGATGAGGTAATCATCAGTGAAAGGTTGTTTTGGGTCATCGACAGGTCTGAAAACAGGTCTATGGGCGGGTCCAGCTCCTTCTCCGGGGTCATCGAACTGGGGTTGCATGGGGGAAGGAGGGGCCTGCTCGCATTGTATCCGACGAATGTAGACGTCATAATCTGGATGTTTCAGCAATAGGTTCTTTTCTTTTAGTGATTTTTCATCGTTTTTGCTTAAGTTGCAGGTAGCATTGCCTTTTGCACCAACGCTGGAAAGAAAACAGTAAAATAATTAAGTAATTAATGTGGTTGAAGTTGATAAAAGTGTTGGTTTATGAATCTGTCAGTGCTTATATGCATTGGTATGACCTAATAAAGGTCACAGAGCCGCTGGATGCAAAACGCTTCCAGCCAACTTTCTGGAAGTCATTAGGTCAGACCTATATTCAGCAATCTGGCCTTGTGGCTCATAGGCTATCATCACACACCCTATTAGGAGAGACTAATGACATCAATGTCACAAATTGGGTCGACCTTTTATATCGGTCTTATCTACCTCTTGAAAAAACTTCTTTATAAAATTGTTATTAGCGACATCTACTGTCAACAATAAAACAATAGGTACGTACCCATAATCGTAACTCTGGCATTGTTTGTCTTGCTTGCAAATGTGTTCACACTCACGCGTTGTTAGTTCGGTCACGTTTCGATAGATGGCGTCAGGAGACAGCTGTTCTCCAATCGATATTCTGTCGAAACAATCTGAAATATAAATAAACAGATTTTTATGAACCTACTCTCTACTTACTTACTTACTAATTTACTAACTCCTCTGCCTCGTTAGCCTAGTAGTCGCAAGTGCGACTGCCGGGTAAGGGCTCTCGGGTTCGATTCCCGGGTCGGGCAAAGTACTACTGGGTTTTAAAAAAAATCTCAGTAGTAGCACGGAGTCTGGAAATGTGCCCGGTATATGGCAATAGGTGAGCCTATTGCCACTCAACCTCTATTACATGGGACTCATAACATAGATAGTGAAAAGTGGGTGTTACATTGTACAGTGGCATTAAATTTGCACCTGCTATCCCCTGCTATGCCTATCCCTTCAAGGATAAAAGGCGTGATGTTATGTTATATTATGTATGTTATTATGTGTTTAATATGTAATGTAACAGATATTAATTTCTTCACTACCGCTGCTCTTAGCCTATTAAGGAACTACACATAATAGACTGTGAGTGGGTAGTTGCCATAGATACAATAAAGAAGTTCGAACCTTTTAGGCTGCGATCTGCAATTTGATTTCCAAACGTAGAGATACCCAATTACCCCATACCCAATCCTTAAATCATTAAATCAGTAACCCCAAAAAGGCTTTATAAAAATTACCTAGATGTATTATAATAAAAAAATTGTATGATAAGGGCACGGACCTAGAGTCCGTGGAGAATTAATCTGTAATATTAAAAAAAAAACCCCAAAAAGGCCGGCAACGTACTTGTTACTCTTCTGGTCTTTTTTTTTTAAGGGGGAAATTCATCGAATGACTGCTCCCGCCTGGGTGAGACGGAAGGGAGTGTCAGACTCTTACTGACTAAAAACCACCCTGTTCCTTCTCCTGCACATCGAGCCGGAGCCCCGGTTACCCGTTAGGTTCTCCGCGACACTCTTCTGGTCTTGCCCCCTCTGGAACCACCTAAATACGACACACGTCCATAGACGGCTCCGGTTCTCAAGTGATCTACCAGCTCGTTTGCCGTCTTATCACGAAAGAAAACAAATGACTGCTACGTGTGTCACTTGGACAGTAAAACTAGCTACTGCATGAGCCGCTGTTTACATGTGAACATTAGCTCATGACGATACCTAAGTACGTGTGTCGCCTGGACAGTCACCGCTACCATCAGTTGACTGGACAATCTCTTTACATGAGCTGCTGTTTACATGTGAACATTAGCTCATGACGATACCTAAGTACGTGTGTCGCCTGGACAGTCACCGCTACCATCAGTTGACTGGACAATCTCTTTACATGAGCTGCTGTTTACATGTGAACATTAGCTCATGACGATACCTAAGTACGTGTGTCGCCTGGACAGTCACCGCTACCATCAGTTGACTGGACAATCTCTTTACATGAGCTGCTGTTTACATGTGAACATTAGCTCATGACGATACCTAAGTACGTGTGTCGCCTGGACAGTCACCGCTACCATCAGTTGACTGGACAATCTCTTTACATGAGCTGCTGTTTACATGTGAACATTAGCTCATGACGATACCTAAGTACGTGTGTCGCCTGGACAGTCACCGCTACCATCAGTTGACTGGACAATCTCTTTACATGAGCTGCTGTTTACATGTGAACATTAGCTCATGACGATACCTAAGTACGTGTGTCGCCTGGACAGTCACCGCTACCATCAGTTGACTGGACAATCTCTTTACATGAGCTGCTGTTTACATGTGAACATTAGCTCATGACGATACCTAAGTACGTGTGTCGCCTGGACAGTCACCGCTACCATCAGTTGACTGGACAATCTCTTTACATGAGCTGCTGTTTACATGTGAACATTAGCTCATGACGATACCTAAGTACGTGTGTCGCCTGGACAGTCACCGCTACCATCAGTTGACTGGACAATCTCTTTACATGAGCTGCTGTTTACATGTGAACATTAGCTCATGACGATACCTAAGTACGTGTGTCGCCTGGACAGTCACCGCTACCATCAGTTGACTGGACAATCTCTTTACATGAGCTGCTGTTTACATGTGAACATTAGCTCATGACGATACCTAAGTACGTGTGTCGCCTGGACAGTCACCGCTACCATCAGTTGACTGGACAATCTCTTTACATGGGCTGCTGTTTACATGTGAACATTATTTCATGACGATACGTATTTCACAAGTACCTACTTAGACATGTGAAATTAAATTAAATGAAAGACGCTTTACGTATTAAATTACTCGTATAATTGTAATTATTACACCGTTATCATTATTATTTATTGCCGCTTGTTATGGATGCAATATGGCGGATGCATTTGGAAATATAACATTTATATAGTTTCGTCAAGACAGTATTTCTGTAGGTAAGGTGCACTCGTGGGATTTGAAGTGTAACGGTATTTTTGGTAGTTTGTCAGACTATAGCGAGTAGGTAAGGAAAGAAAGGTTCGAATTGCGATTCAAATAAACAATTATTGATTTCGAAAAATACTCATGCATATAAAATAATCTTAAGGGTGTATAGAGTTGCCATCAGACCACCATAGATGTAGCCCAGTAGGGCTGATCGCGATACGGAGCCGTGGAGGACTTAGCAGGTTGCCGGGGCTCCGGCTTGAAGTGCAGGAGAAGGAACAAGGTGATTTTAGTTAGTAAGAGTCTGACACTTCCTCTCACCTCACACAGGCGGGAGCAGTCATTGGATCATTTTCCCCTCAAAAAAAGGGTGTAAAGAGTATTACAATGGACCGGCATAGAACAACTGTTTAAATGTGGCTATCGGGTGCCAAACCCCGTGACTTTGTTACTGAAGAGCTCTATTTTCAGTAGTAAACATGATACCTTCTACTGATGATAATGATATGCTCATCTTTTCCCATCGAGCAACCCAAGGCATACTAATGTTATTGTGTTTTTCATATAATTATTAGACAGTAGAATAATTATAGACGGTTACATGACTAAACAAAACCAAATAAGTACCTTTTTAAAGGTTCTTAACCTCTTTGGGTGAGCCCTAAATAATGCCCGTAACATATCGTTGCGCGTTTCAAGCTATGAAGGGGTAGATAGAGGTAACACATTGTACGAGTATAAAGTTACAACTGCTTTTCATCAGTTATGTTGTAAGTCCTATGCAACAGGTAATAACCACATTAACAATAAATCTGACTGACTCGTTGGCCGAGTGGTCGCAAGTGCGACTGCCGGGCGAGGGGTCTCGGGTTCGGTTTTAAAAAAATTCTCAGTAGTAGCACGGAATCTGGAATTGTGGCCGGTATATGGCAATTGGCTCACCCCCTATTACATGGGACTCATAACATAAATAGTGAAAAGTGGGTGTTACATTGTATAGTGGCACAATGTGCATCTCTGCCTAACCCTTCGGGAATAAAAGGCGTGATGTTATGTTATGTGTGTAACAATGAATCCTAAATTTTGTGTGATTAGGTGATTACTTATAATCTGAGGTCGTGGTAGCCCAGAGGTTACGACGGCGGTTCGCATGCATGAAGGTATGGGTTCCAAACCTACCGATGGCAAGTACCAATGTGACTTTTTCCGAGTCATTATGTACTGTGTAATCCTAGAAAGATTATTTTTATTTAGATATCACTGACAAATGGTGAAGGAAAACATCGTGAGCAAACCTGGGCTTATAATTTCTTATTAAGTAAGATAAGTCTGTAATCGCCAACCCGCAATGAGCAAGCGTGGTGATGAATGCTCAAACCTTCTCCGTGTGAGAAGAGGCTTTGCTCAGCAGTGGGCATTTATAAGCTGTTGATGATAATGATACATAATCTAGGTGCTGATGATTTATTTGTGATTTCATTGCTTACCTTCAATGGATGTCCCAAGCTGCGAATCGATGGTCAAAGTCTGCACCGCCGCCGCAAGCAGAACCGGACACAAAACTAATATATTTAACATTTTAACTAACAAACTAACTAACATACTAACACTTTAAACAATAACCACGTCCATTTTAATGTAAAACGCCCGTAAAAATGAATTAACCACAAACTAAAAGTATAATAAATAAATACTCTTTACGTTCAAACTCATTACATTGTGTTAAAAAAATATTTTATTTAAATTTCGAATTATAATTTAATTTACGAAACACTCCTTCAACATTTTAGGCGAAACACTGCAACATACATCTATCTCTATCACTGTGCACTAACACAACAGGAGTAAGCGAGACGACGATACAATTGAAACAATTCGAATTGCCAAATATGAAATTCTCCCGCTCAAAACAGTTCCCACAGACAACAAATATGTATTTTTTTTTTACTCTTTTTCGAAAGTTGGCAAAGACGTCCTATCGAGTTTAGTTTTGCGAATGTTATGGTGCAAAAGTGCTTGGGTGTGCCGAGTCACGGTTCGATGCCCAGAAACACTTCCTTGGCATCTTATGTGAACCTTTAAGTTTGTTAATCGAGCTGTTAGGTTGTTAGCGCACAACTACAGTTTATTCCCGCGGGTTTGTTTATAAAAACAAAGATTTTAACTGAAAATTGTCTCAAATGGTTGATTTGATATCTAAAGTTAACATAAGTGCGACTGCCTATGACGAGGTCTCTACTTTGATTCCCGGTACAATAACACATTTACGTTAAAGATATGTTTAACCTAGATGATGTCCACATTCCCTAACTGTAAAAAGGCTTTGGAAGTAGCTACTAAGCTCAATTCGTATCCCATGGCATCAAATCAGAGCCACACAGGGGATATCGTCACTCCACCTAGCAGAAGGATGTCCTATATGTGACAGGATGTCCTTGCTTAAGGGGCCCCTACTCCAGGGTGCTTACTCTTGAAACCATTCTCAACGTCAATGCAATTTCAATCCAATAAAATCTCAATAATTATTGAATGTCAACACTATACAACCACAATTGTAGCTGTTAAAATAGCATTCAGAGTACGGAATATAAAGCCAAACTCAATACCACTTAGTTCGTTCAATATCCGCGCAATACGGATGCAATGGGCGCTAGTGTTGTAACTCAAGAGTACGAAATTTCACAATACCAATGTCAATCGATCGGAATTGGATTCAAGAGTAAGCCCCCTGAACTGATCTACACCAACGGTCATTGGTTCGCGCGTAAATGTGGTCCACTTAGGTAAAGTACTGCCACTTTGAAATACCAAATGCGCTTCGCATCAAGCTTCTTTGTTCATTGCTAAGGAGTCGAATTCTTTGCCAGAGTCTGTATTTCCTGGGAGTCTTCAAGGCCCGAGTGAATAGGTTGCTTATAGGACGACGTGCTACATCGTAGACTGCATAATCGCCTACCACCAGGCGAGATAGTGGTCAAACGTCGCCCCATCAAATATAAAACAAAATACCTGTTATTATACACATTCGTTATACAAAACAAACGGACAACACAATAACACAAGAAATAATTATTAATTTGTTTAGAAAAAACCCGGTGAGTTCACGCTCCGCCCGCCATACAACAAGAAGGAAGCAAGCGACATCATAAAAAACTAAATATTCAACATTTTAACGATAATCTGCTGTTTCTTAACTATTTTTGACGAATTCCATAATGAAGATTCCTGGTCGAGTTGTTATAAAAGATACTGTTAAGCAAGGAAAAATTGGTTTGATTCCTGGCATAATGACATATTTCATAACATACATAACATCACGCCTTTTATCCCTGAAAGGGTAGGCAGAGGTGTACCTACATTACGGCACTTAATGCCACTGTACAATGTAACACCCACTTTCCACTATTTATGTTATGGGTCCCATGTAATAGGGGGTGAGCCTATTGCCATATACCGGGCACATTTCCAGACACCGTGCTACTTTTTTTTTTAAAAAACCCAGTAGTACTTTGCCCGACCCAGGAATCGAACCCGAGATCCCTTGCCCGGCAGTCGCAATTGCGACCACTCGACCAACGACTGACATATTTTTCAGCATCTAATCAGGAATCTGGGATTGTATCTCATCTTTCCTCGTCTAGCTAGTCTTCTGTTGGACTCGTCGTATGCTCATTTACTTTTCCCCGGTTGGATAAAGTAGGTACGACTGGGTTTTTAAAAAATTCTCAGTAGTAGCACGGAGTCTGGAATTGTGCTCGGTAAGGCAATAGGCTCACCCCGTTGGCGTCATTTTCATTTTTTTTTATGAAATAGGAGGCAAACAAGCAGACGGATCACCTGATGGTAAGCGATCAGCGCTGCCCTTGGACACCCGCAACACCAGAGAAATCACAGGTGTGTTGCCGGCCTTTTAAAAAGGAGTACGCTCTTTTCTTGAAGGTCGTATCAGTTCGGAAATACCGCCGACGACTGATCATTCCACAGTTTAGCTGTGCTTTGTTTTTTATTCATTTTAAGTAGATCTTAAAATGAGTCAACAACAAAACTGAAACAAAAAATCAGGATTCATGACATTTATTTAAGTAATTGCAAATTTTAAAACGATATACAAAAAAACTAAACGGAAGACGTTATCCATTAGCTAATGTTTTCTATATGTTAATCTGTTATATTTAATTGAATCGTTAACATTATAAAAATAAATAAAACTATAAAATAACAGTATTAAAATGCACGTCCTGTGTATAAGAAACAAAATCTGTACATTTTACACATAACATAACATCACGACTTTTATCCCCGAAAGGATTTTTTTTAAGGCGGGAAAATCATCGAATGACTGCTCCCGCCTGGGCAGGGAGTGTCAGACTCTTACTGACTAAAAACCACCCCGTTCCTTCTCCTGCGCGTCGAGTCGGAGCCCCGGTTACCCGTTAGGTTCTCCGCGACATCCCCGAAAGGGTAGGCAGAGGTGCACATTATCTACGGCACTTTATATCAATGTACAATGTAACACCCAGTTTTCACTATTTATGTTATGAGTCCCATGTAATAGGGGGTGAGCCTATTGTCATGTGCCGGGCACAATTGGGATGATGACAGGGTATGAAAATTAAAAATCTTATTAGTCCGTCAGGTAGGTAATCAAAAAATATTAGACACGTATTTTTTATTTTGTCGTATAATAAAATAATACTTATATATTTTTTATTTTTATTTTTTATTTTATTTTTATTTTTTATTACAGAAAACTCAACAGCTTATTTAGTAAATGCTACATCTATAATAATGACAAGGCATGGAAACTTAAGCCAATAACAGAGTTTTTCAGCATGCGTTAGGTAAAAGTAGGAGAGTGAGCAATATAAAATAAAATTAAACAATCAAGGACATTTTTTTATAAAGCAATAATTAAGAAGAATAATAATGTTATAAGAGTCACGCACTAGTGAGTATTTGTATAAGCGACTTACGAAAGGATACCTTTGACAAATTAAATATATCCACACTCTCAAACTTCTCTGTGTAAATGCGAGGTAGTCGAGTCATAACAGCATTTTTCCCATAATTCGTACGATGTGAGGGTATACTAAGCAAGTGAGTATGTCTTGTTCGACACCTGTGCGTGCAGAATTCAACGCATGACAAGAGATCACTGCTATCTATCCCACCCCGCAGGATATCATAAAGAAGGAGCATGTCCAACATCTGCCGTCTGTCATCAAGTGGCAATAAGTGGTAATGTTTACAATCCGTCAGATAAGATGCGTGGCGTTTATGGCTTTTAATATTTAAAAATTTTATAAATCGTTTCTGAAGATTCTCCAAACGAGATATATGAATATTATATAGAGGAGACCAGACAGGACTGCAATATTCTAATGTGCTGCGGACATAAGCAAGATACACAATCTTGAGACTATGAAGGTTTCTGAATGGTTTACATGTGCGCATTACAAATCCAAGATTACGAGAGGCTTTACCAACTGTACTATCGATGTGTTCAGAGAATAGCAATCTAGAGTCCAGCAACACACCAAGATCTCTAACGACATCTACTCTTTCTATAGCTATGTTGTCAAATTTATAACAATACTTTATGGGGTTTATGCGACGGGTGAAACTAATAGATTGACATTTCGATATATTCACATTGATGTTATTCTGCGAGTAGTATCGGTATAGTGAATTAAGGTCATGTTGTATGAGCTCACAATCAGACACCGATTCAACCCGCAAGTATATTTTCATGTCATCTGCGTATAGAAGGTGTTTAGAGTGTTTGAAACATGCTTGGATGTCATATAAGTACGCAGAGTAAAACAGAGGTCCAAGCAAGGATCCCTGTGGGACACCGGACGTTATATCCACAAAGTCAGATCTAAAGCCACCGATCACAACAGCCTGAGAACGCTTGGACAGATAGGAACTGATCCACCTAAGCAAGTCGCCGTGAATGCCAAGATTTTGGAGTTTCGAAAGCAGGATGACATGATCCACGCGATCGAATGCTTTTTCGAAGTCTGTATAGATTGCATCAACCTGACCACCCGCCTCCATATTACGAATAACATAGTTAGTAAAGGTGGCAAGATTAGATACTGTTGAGCGGCGTCTCATGAAACCATGCTGATATGGACCAATGCTATTGGATATCGTTGAATAAATATTATTGTAAATAATTCTCTCGAACATTTTACCAAGTGTGTTAAGAATGGATATCGGACGATAGTTTTTAATATCCGATTTCGAGCCTTTCTTATGCAGAGGGACAATAAGTGCAGACTTCCACACTGAGGGAAATACGCCCTCAGTTAAGGACTTCCTAAACAGCAAGGTAATAGGGCGTGTTAGGCTACCAGCACAGCTACGGAGAAATATGGGGGGCAAGCCATCAGTTCCGGGGCCCTTGGTTCTGTTTAATGTGCGCAAGGTGCCGAGTACTGTATCCTCAGTGATATCAAGTGTCGATATTATATTACTGGAAGTATTATTAAAGTCATTGGTGGTAGCTGACGGTAATGTGCCTATAGAAGAGTGTATGGATGGCCTGACAAAAACACCATGGAAGTATTCGCTGAAAGCGGTGCAGATACCATAACCATTATCGTAGGCCTTATTGTTTAATGTAAAGGCTTTTGGATATTGACTACCACCTCGTTTACCCTTTACATAGGACCAAAAAGTTTTGGGATAATGACTTATGTTTTTCTCAGTTAGCAATACATATTTATGAAAACATGATTTTAGAATGTCATGTTGTCTAGTGCGTAGGATTGAAAATTCTTGGTAATCCCGAGGATTTCCATATTTTTTCCATTTGTTATGCACTTTAGATTTTTCACGAATAATTTTAATGAGAGGACGACTGTACCATGCGGGGTACTTACGGTTACTTTTATTATTATTAAGTGGTACATATCGTTCTATTCCGATATTTATTTCTTTGTAAAGCTCACT